TTATATATAAAACGGTTACTTCGAATTATACTATATTATCTGATCTTTAAAAATTGTTAATTTTTGTCACATTATTTTTTTTCCATTTTTTATCATTAATTATTATTATTTATTATTTTACCTGTTGTTATTAATACATGTACATGGCGCTTGTCGCCCTGCTTGGCTTGTTTTTTCAATAAATAAATATAGCATTTGACAAACCTAAAATTAATCAGTGGATTGCTTGATAGATCCTCGTCAATTGTGGCATTGCTTTGATCATTACCCGACCCTATTTCGCAAATTTAGATATCTTCATATATGTTGCAGTTTACTTTTCTTCAATTTTGACGAGATTTGCCAATGTATTTTGAAGAATATGTCATAAAAAAATCTCTAGGAGCCTTTTGCTGAAGGTGGATATTACGCCCTGCAAACTTTAATGGAATTTTATAAGAACTATTTACTATGCATTAAAATTAATAGAACTTTCTATAATGAGCAATTTTAAATATATGGAAAACAATGGAAACTGTCCAGTATCCAGTATAAAACAATATGACGAACAATTTTATTGAATATAATCCTATATAATATGCAGTTTGCGATGCTTATTTGTTTGCAGCCAACGATAATATGGTAGAGCGGTATTTCAGCTGGGTCAAATATGGGCTCAGTTTTTAAAATTAACGAGAGTAAATCTGCAATTAAAGTAAAATGTGAAATCTAAATGCCAAGGATCCATTTTATTTCTATCCCAAATGGCTCTCTAATGAAAAAGTCTCATAGTAGGTAGGAACCAGATGGCACGAACGGCGAAATATTTTTGAAAATGTGAAAAAAATTTATCAATGGTGGTGTAATCATGCAGCAGTGAATCATTTTTATGGCTAAATTAGATCTTTTTTGAATTTTTAATTTTTAATTTATCTTTTAATTAAATTAGATCTTTTTTTGCTTGTTTTCTAAATTTTGATGGAGCCGTCTTGCAAATAGTGCGCAAAAATAGTATTTTCAGTAAGAAGATTAGCTATAATTCAAAGAAATTGAACATGTTTTTATAATTGTTCCACAATATTCCTGCACAATAATAAAATATTGGACTTGAATTATTTAACAATTTACAATAGAAAAAAATGTAAAAAAGAGAACCTTTATCTGTACTTCAGTAAGTAGATAAATTATTCTTAAATGATCTAGGAACACCAACAAATCATTGAAAAGTATGAAATTTCTTCGAAGTTTTATGAAATGAATTATTTACAGAAACGGAGATGGAATTCGGAATTTGAGTTTTCATTAATAAAGAAAAGCTCGATAAAATTATTAGATCAAGATTTATTCAGAAAAAAAAAGTATTCATAAAATAATTTCCGAATTTCGACATCCCGAAAGAAATGTGGCTTCCACTCTGAGGTTGTCTTATTTCTCTGTTGTACTGCTGAACCCAGTTGCAACATATTTTCCTCAGGTCAAATCTAATCTCAAATCCTCTCAAATCTTTTTCCTCAAATCTTTTTCTATCCTTAAAATTCTGCCAAACTTTAACTCTTTTAAAATTATCTTATATTTAACAATTTCAAATTTCAAATTTCAAATTTTTTCTCATATACCTCCATTGAAATTGCCATTATTCTGTTAAGACGATTATATTATTTTAGGCCAAAAATCAGGGTTTTGGAAAATAATTATCAGCCTCAGTATCAGAGAAGGAAATCGCTACTCCATTGATAAATTTCTCACACTCATCGGAAAAAAATTGAGATGCACCGATGCTTGTGAAAGGAATATTCTCAGCCATTTCTTTTTGAAATAACAAAAAAATTCATCTGGTTCTATTAAAAAAATATAAAGCGTAATAAGAGTTTTTCCAATTTTTTTGTTGCTCGTTCTTGTAATTCCCTATTGCAAGAATCGCATGAAAAAAACAATTTTTTAAAAACTCGATATAGTTGGCAGAGTTCTTATTCCGAAAAAAGAGGGGACTGCAGTTACATTATTAAATATCATGTAATAATTCAAAAAATTGAGAGAAGATATTTTTCGGTGGAAAAATCAACGGTACAGAAGTAAATATTGGAACTATTTCTTTTTGATTCCGATTGCAAAAGTCAATAAATGCGTACAAAAAATGGATCTGTTTTCTGCCATTTTCCACCTTAAAGTGGGATTACTTCTCCATGTAAAATCAAAAACCAGAAACCATTTGTGTGAAAGGATGTCAACAGTAATGTCAAAAGATAACATTAAATCACCAAAACTGCTTTCGTTTATTTCCCAGCTCACTGTCATTTATATAAGACCGGAGCTTTCATATTATTCATTCATACTAATAATTTTTCACTGCATACCATTTTAAATTTTTCATTTTCTCCCAATCTCACCAGTTTACATCATCCTTTAAACAATTTTATACTCCACATTTCAACTCTAATTTTTCCAAAATTCAATAAAGAACTGTTAGTAAATTGTGCGTAATAATAATCGATTATAACAAAAATAATATAAAAAATTTCATACAATTTGTTTCAAATTTCAAGTGATTTGTTCTCTTTCAATTGGCATTTAATTTTCTCGTTTCAACGTTTCTTTTACCATAAAATTTATCACTAATTATTACTATAATCACTATTCACTATTTTTTCCATTTAAATATAATGATTTAAAAGCTAAAATATACAAAATATATAGTAAAGCTCTAGAAAATAAATTGCGTGAGTTAAACCGTTGAAATCAATGAACAACATATTTAGTTCAAATTTTCGACAGGATTCTGGTAAATATTTGTGTGTTCAAAAATGAGCAAAACATGATTTTCAGCAGGTCATCAGTCTAATGAAGCAAAAGTCACAGAGGTGACCTCCAATGGATACGGCTGTATAAGACCGAAAATGTGAATCGTGCAGGATAAACAATAAATAACGATAAATATTAGGATGGCTGTCACGAAGGATGGCTGTCACGAGTCGCTTTAAAATTTCGTTTATTTTATTGTATTTTCATTGTTTTGTTGTATTGTTTATTTTGTTGTATTTTCATTGTTTTGTGTAATTAATGATGTATTGTATTTTTGTATACTGTATTATTTTTGTATTTTTGTTGCAATTTAAAATAAATGGTTTGATTACCCAAGTTTGAGGTACACGTCGGATAATCACGGTAATAAAACAAAGAAGAAACTAATGATCTAATACAGTACGATCAATAAGAGAGTAATAAAATCTTATTTCCTTACAATTACAATTTGTTTCAGGCGGTATTAGATAAGTAGATAAACTACAGATAACAGGCAATAAAATAATGGAATCATTTTTTTCCAATATTTAGTCTTGTTAGCAAATGGTCCGAATTCAACGTTTCGAACTGTGCTTTGATAGAAAAATCGTTTTCTTGGCAAAATGATCTTATAATAAAATCTTATAATATAATCCTTAAGTAACCTTAAAATTCAATAAAGTGAATCATTTCAAGAATAGGAACTTCTTATTCATTGTTAAATAGACGAGCGCTCTCGTTGAGAAAATAAGTGTATAACTCAATTGTAGAATTTAACAAACCAAAATTTTAAAAATAAATTCTTCTAAAAGCTAGCATCATTATTACTTAAGGAAACCACTACTTTTTCACCATCTAAGCCAATATATATTGCTGGAGATCTTGAATGGTCCTCCTTTTTTTTAGCTACATTTACCTCAAAGATAAAATTTAGAAAATAGCGAGATATATACAAATTCCCACTATGGACGGACGAAGAATGTAGCCTAATCAACGCAAATAATGAGCAGTGAGACAAGGAGGAACATTAATGCAAATCTTAGTTGATAAAAGCTGGATGCGGCCATGTAAGATTTTATCCGTGCAAATCTATTAAATATACCTTAGATATGAATGAATGTTCATAGGCCTTTTAACATTTTCCTCTCAGTGGTCCTATTTCATAGCTGTATAATAAGATAGTGCAAACAATAGCTAGATAGAGTGAACTTCCGTCTTGATGGTGGTTCAGGTGATCCCATAGAAGTTTCGCCAAACGAAAGCATTTTAAATTCCAGTTATCCAGGTATTTTCGTATACTCAAAAATGAACTCAATAAATGAGAAATGGAAGATCAACAATCCGATAAGGACATTATACATTATAGAAATGACTCCATGTAAGATGGCTATGTAAGGGCAACGATTTCAGTCGAGAAAACTGACGAAAAATGACGACCAACGCTAGCTAAAGGGTTATCTTTTTATATCGTTCATTTTATATCTTTTAGTTTCCGGTTTATTTATTTTTTTGTTTGATTATGCAGCAGTTTGAGGTTCACATCGAGTGTGATAATTTTGCAACGAGTATTCGATGACACTTTTTTGATGGAAAAGAGACTCAAGAAAAAAGCGCTCAACCTTTTTCCTTACATGTGGCCTCAGTTGGTGATGAAACGACAATAAATCAACAGAAACATATGTTTGAATTGGATAAAAAAATTTTTCAGAATTTAATTTCGAATCCTCGAAATTTCATTCGTTTCCTTCTTTTATTATTTTATTAATTAAAATTGCTTATATCTGGAAATAGAATAGAATCGATATAATCTTTTATGCACGATTCACATGGTCAACACACCTTAGTAGCACTGGTTCCATTCGTTTCTGGATCAGAATCGAACCAACCAGCAAGCGATAAAAGAATTGTCCAATAGAAACAGTTGAAGACAAAAAACTGCAAAATTAGTAGATTATAAATAAATGGCTAGCTAGGTGAGGGGCATTTTAATAGAGTGAAACAAGTTCATAACGAAGCAAAATGGCGAAAATCATCATTCTTCGTCTTTATTCAATATTTACTATAATATTTTTAGTATTTCTTATTGAAATCAAACTAAATAAATGAAATGAAATTTTGTATTTACAGAGCATAAGCATTTCATAAACTTCTAGATTTCCTTCGCCCTTCGAAAACTATGTTTTAGGAACGGATGTTAAATTTTAACCAAATTATTTTGTCAGCAATAAATATGAAAATTTTCATTAGTTGATTAGTTCAAAAAAAATCTTTGATATGGTAATTACTGATAAAAAACTTACCGACATAGGGAAAATAATTCTTGCAACAAGATCGATTCTTCCATGCGTCATGCATTCTTGAAAAGTTGGCATTTTAAAAATGATTGCAACTGTTGAAGAATTCTTGTGACACGTGCAAATATCAATCTTCGATTCTGAAATATTAAAAGTCTCCTCGCGAATATAATGCCAAAATATAAGATTTACGTATTTAAATCGTCTTTATCTTGTTTTTTTACAAAATTTTGTAGGTTTATAGAAGAAATTATTAGTAACTGATTAATTGCTAACTTCTATATAAATCTGACGCTTTAGATCGAGCTTTCAGCTTTTTATTTCGATCATCACATTTTTTTTTCGCATAAGAGACACATGCATATTCGATTAGTGCTAATATAACGATCAAGTAACAAAATCCCAAATAGACATCAGCTGCCTAAAAGTTGATCCATTTTCTTCAATTTTACTTATTAATATAGCGATTGTTATGATAAAATATTATGATATTATTAACTAATAAGCTAACCTTTATATAAGACACTGGTGGTAATCGTCTGTTGGTACCAGTGATGAGATAAGTCTCACTAAGCACAGTAAGAGTGCCAATAATTGTTCTCGATGGAGCCGAATCCCTGCTTATCCAAAAAGAAACCCAACTTATGAAAACAACCAATGTAGCTGGTGCGAATATTTGTAACATATATGAGCCAGCTTGGCGTTGGAAATAGAATTGCACCCATAAGCGGCAATATGAACCTAAATACTAATCAGAAATCGATGACGAAAGTTTAAATTTTGAAATATGACAAAAAATTGAGGTTCAAACGTTATAATAATTGTGGCTATTTCGGCTTTAGCCCTAAATTTGACTTACTTTTTCGGCTTCGATATTGGTTGAAAAAAAATTGTGGCAGAAATCAAAGATGTTGTGGAATAATTATAATTTTTATTACTTTACCTTTCTCAAAAAAGTTGAGAAATAAATTTTAAAGGTTTATAGAAAAGTAAAAAGTAATAAGTTCAATAAGAGGCACTACAAAAATGTGGAGGAATGAAGCTTTAAGAAATTCATGAAACTTTATAATAGGCCTTCGTGTTAAATTTCTGCAGAAATCACGTGATCGCTGAAAATTTTCGACAGCGTAATCTGAAGAAGATTTCTGCAGTTGATGAAATTGTCACCCAGCGTCTTAGCGTCAAAGTAAAATTTTGCCAAACACCTCACCAACTTCATTTTCTTTTTATTAAATATTATTAAATTTTCAAAATTTTAAGATTTTTTTATTCATAAATCTTAGAAAAAGTTTTAGCGAAAAGTGGGAAAAATTTATATATTTTAAAATATTTTAAAATTTCTAAGTTTACAGGATTCGTTAAAAAATTAATTGAATTTATCAAAGATTATCAATATTTTTAGACTTGCCTGATGAAGTAGTGGCGATAGTTTTATTCATACATGCTTTATTAAATTTGTAGCTTGGTAATTCAATTGGTTCCATTCCAATTCCTGAATTACAATTTGGTTCCTTATGACTGCACCAGTGGTAATGAATTGTGGCCATTGTATATCCATCTTAACATGTTTGAAATGAGAATTTAAAATTTAATTAAGATGGTTTCACTACATTTAGTGCCTTTTTGCCAAATCTTGCTCTTGGATTGAATGAAAGTTGAATAGTTGAAACTATTCTAATGCATTATCCCTTTGAATTTAAAAGCTCTTGAATTTTTTTCAGAGTAATACTGTTTTTATATTTTTTTCATCCGGTTGATAATAATAAAAGTTTGCTGAGCCGATACAAATTTCCAAAAAATATTTTTTGGACGAATCGTTAGATGTTGTGTTTGCCAAAGATTTTTCGTGACTAATTTTTAATTGAGATTATGACTTCTCATCCAAGTAATGTAAAACATTTCACTTGCATAATTAACGAAATTCCCCATCTGCTTTTATCCAATATTTGTTTGATATTTCTAATATTTCTTATTTTGAATTTAAACAATTTATCTTAGCAATAATTCAATGGGGGATGGATCATACTATGTTCTATCCGGGTAGGAATAAGCCTGCATTTCGAAAATCTGAATGCTGGCACTTCACTTTTTCAATTGCCAATGATTCCCTGGCAAAATTTGTTTGAATTTGGGCCGACAAGCCAGTGGAACGGGCTTAGCAACTCAGCAACAATATTATTAGATCGCTTCTTAGAAAAAATTAGATCGCTTCTGTTCCTGTTTTCTTCCTAGTCAATCTCAATAAGATTTATGAATAGGATCCTAGAAATATATACAGAGATACATTTGAATAACCGAGGACGATTCGCAAGATTCAAAAATAATAATACTTATAGTTATTAAAATAATATTTTATTAAATCTCTAATATTCTCTTGCTGTCTTCAACAAATTTTTGATCAACAAAACCCTAATCCAAAATTCCACTGTCGATTTGTTAAAACTAATATGGTTTGAGAAAAATTTATCTATTATTATTATTTACATAATATTAAATATTATTTGCCATATATTATATACAACAAAATATAGGTTCAAATCAATGGGATGCACCAGTTTCCAAAGATTTTTGATTTTTTCATTCTTTTTTAAATTTATGAATGAAATTTTTGAATTTTTTTTTGAAAGTCTGAATATATTTTGCCAGAATTTCTCGGCGTAATAAGTTATAAATAGAGAAATAAAAAAATCCATCTAAAAGAAGTGAAAAAAATTCTTCATTTTGGCATTAATTTAGCTGATTTATAACGAAGACTGAAATAATCAGGAATCGAATAAATGGTAATCGCTCGTATCGATTGATGAACTTAATATAGTCATAATTATCCAATAAAGAGCTGAAAATACACTTTTTTTTCAACACTGAATCTGAAAAAACTGAAAAGAAATAGTTTTTTATCAGTTTATCCTTTTCTTGATGCACTTAGTACTTACCAATTTTGGCACTCAAGCGCCTAATAGAATGATACCGTTTAGCCAGAGAGCCACTTGGGGACGGAGGTATAAGAAAGTTTCCGGTATCTGGATTTCAGCTTTATGATTATCAAGAAACCGAATTCTTGGATCAAATTCATGACCTCAATTGAAGAAATATATATCCTAGAGCGTCAAGGTTTGGGCCTTTCCTTAAATAGGAATAAAGCAAGGGCCAGACGAGAGTATACCATCAAAGAAATCATTAAAGAGTGGTGATGGGGATTCACCTGATCACAATTCTATTTCCAAAGGAGTTGTTAGCAGAATTTCGTAATATATTATGGAGCAAATTTGACCAGAAATGGTGAGTTATTTCCCTGATATTTCATTTTTTAAAATTTTTCCTTTATATTTTTGTATATTCCACTTTTTTTCATTTTTAAAATTATTCATTAGAAATTATATTAATAAATTAAAGCAAAAAAGTTGAAAGAAAAAAATTATACCATTAAAAAAAACAAATAGGAGAGGAAATAAATATCGAGAGCACTTATCAATTTTTGATGGTGTTACATTCCGGCAAGCTCGAGAAGCTTTTTTAGGTTTTGCAAATGGAGCTGGCCACATTACTGGATCAGGAATTAAACGAGGATGCTGCATTAAGGGAATAGTACGACAATCACAATCTGGTGGAATTTCTATCTTTGTTCCCTTAAAACATATGGTTAAGAAACCATTTTGCATCTCTTTTAGAAGAAAATGTTTTTTAGAAAATAGCATAATACGAAAAAGTTCACTTAAAGACTATCTCATACGTTGCACCGTGCAGGATGAAATATAAAACGCTGGTGTATTCTTTATTTTCTCAAGCTAAATTTTCAGAAAAACTCCGTTAAATCCTCACTAAATGCATTTTCAATGCCTACTGTGCTCTTCTGAATAATCCAAAGTCACTTTAACAGCGACTCAATTGTAGCCTCTTAATACCAACCGTTCCACTATTGCGAATCTTCTCGCAGCATTTGCCACAAATAAAATCGCAAAGAGTGGAGGCTTAAATGTGGCTTGGGAACGATAAGGAAATATAATGGGAAAAGGAGAAGGAGAGGAAGAATGCTAAGGACCAGAATGAGTTTTGAGAAGGTAATATTAATCAGAAATATTTCGAAATATGGCCGTATTTGAAAAAATATCTGTACATCCGTATGACGTGGTCGTTACACCTAACGATAACTTGAAATAAAATCTAACCAAAATATTGCGTGAAGTTGTTTGATTGTACATCGGCATTTCAACAGGCATTTGCTGTTCCGCTTGTTTCCGTCTCCTTTCTCTCCTTTGGGCTAATTTTTTATTCATGTAACTAACAACAGCATATTCAACAAGACTTGCAAATACCATAATGAAGCTGTAATTTTTACAAGTGCGATTTGAAAAAACCTCTATTGTTTCTCAAACAATCTTAATTCTAGTTTAGTAATATCATTGATTCAATTTTTAAGTAAAAAATTTAATCCGAGCCATTAAAAATTGCGGTGGCGCAATAAACTTATACTTTTATCGCTAATTGGTTTTCTGGAAAAAAAAATTTTTTACCACACATAAAGTGGAGATAGTCTAACCAGAAATGGTGAGCCCTAGTTTTTTTTCTATTCCAAGGGTCGATAATATTATTTTTCGACTTCAGATGATTATTACCTCAGGTATTCAAGATTTTTCTCTAAATCTCTGAAGGGAAAATGATAAATTAAACGACAATTAAGGATAAAATTTATAAAATTTTTGAAATAAATATTGAAATCTTACCAAAAATTAAGAAAAACATCAAGACCTTTGATATAACTAACTTTTGGCATAGCATTCTGAAATTGCACTTGTTGAAAAATATAATGAGATTTCAAAACTGCGTAAAGAAATCCACGAAATTTTGCAAAGAGAAATTTTGAGTATGAAATGCATAAGAAAGATTTGCTAACTAACATTTGTCGTAGTAATGAGAGTAGTCATTGTGAGGACAGTGGTTACCCCAAGGCCCACACGCGCAGGTGATGCTTCTCGATTGAGCCAAAATGATACCCATGATATAGTTACAATCAACATTGAAGGGATTATTATATTCATAAGATAGAAACCAAGATTTCGGCCGAGAAGTACTTCAAAATATAAACGCACATAGGCACCTAAAATTTTCTGAAAACTAATTTAATAGGGCTTACAGACAAATTTTGTATCTTTTATGAAATAGTAAAAATTTTCAGAAAACAAGATTGCCACAATTTGAGGATGATATATCTTAATAAAACAGAAAGAGAGATTGTGCAAAAACAAATAAAAAAAACTGAACTTATGACTGGCACTAAGATGTGAGGAAAGAGAGAAATTGTTAGTTCCACGAGCAAATGTGACAAAAGACACTCTTAACATAAAGAACTTTCACTGCAGTGAATTTTGGACAAATAAATAAAAAAACATTTACAGTCAGGTGGGTGTTTCGAAAGAAAGCAGCACCTGATGATGTGATAGCTCTCGTAACATTAACTTGATATCCAATTGCCTTGAACTGTGGCAAAGACAGCGGTTCAAAACCAACTACCTGACTTTGTTTTCTTCGATCAGAACCCCAAAAATAATCAATATCTGCTGTAGTATAACCATCTAAAATATTTTCTATTTTGTATACGATATCGCTAAATAAACAGCAAACTGATCAAACTCTTATTGCACCAGTGTCCCTTACAATTTCCATATAAATATTTCGTAATTAGTTTCTTTCTGCTCAGTTGAAGAGGACTTTATGGATTTTTTTCATGTTTCGTCACATTTTTCGCATGATAACTTTTGAAAATTCAGCGATGATTTAATTTGCTGAGCAAGAAAACAATTATCATAGCAGCAATCTCCAAAATATTTCAATGACCATTTAATTAAATGATGAAGCACTCAATTACTTTTTATTTTGAGCGACCAACATGGTGATAAAGAAATCTTGGAATTGGAATCTGTAGAAGAAATCCAGTTTTTCTAAGAAGGAAACTAAACTAAAGTATTTTTTTCACAAAGAAAGAAATCGATTTTCGCACTGGAACTAATATGATTTTCTTCGATTTCATTCTTTTTTTTCTATCAGCGCTCATGATTTCCGGTTAGGCTTGCTCCACTATTAAGATGCGACTGCCAGAGACATCCTTTTGCCAGAGCATCAATTTGCGATAGCTTTATCATGGTACAGCAATAAGTGGGTCCTAGTGGGACTTTTATTTGGCAGCTTTGCCACAATCAAAAGGTAGACGCTGAACCAAGGGACTATTTCATCGAAATAATATTCTACTTGGGAAGTCAATTTATCATTAATTAATTAAACAATATTTTTATTTTATTAGTCAATTTAAATAAACACATTGTACCATTAAAAAATTTTGTATAATAAAAATTTGTGTTGTTGATTTTGAAGGACTATAACTTTTTTGAAAATCGATAATATTATTTAGAATAAGCTTCATTACAATGAAGGCAATTTTACCAACGTGACACAAATCATTTACTTGATTTGCATAAAGGTCCGAGCAGTTGAAACCAGTGAATTGCTGAAAGGCGTTTTCAAGATCCTTTTATTTTCTTTCCAGAGGAAATTATGAGGAAAATAGAAGAAATGAATAGTTGTTAAGAACGAAAGGTGAGTGAAAATTGAAATATTGAAGTCTGCAAATTTTTGAAAGTGGTTTTCAAATCAAGTGGTTTTCATGATGTGTGACCTGCCATTGCGGAATGGCAAGACTTTTTCCAATTCTTTACCGTATGGTTCAGCTGTAATCGCATCAGTTTTTAAAAAGAGTAATGGATCAGTCGAATATCAGACCACCAAGCAATCATTCGAAACGTTGTAACGATCTTTTCATGTCGCCTTATAAAGTCCACTCTTTGTAGTAGAAAACAACCCAAGTAAAAGATAGTATTAGCAGCAAATAATACATGACCTCATCTAATACTCAGTCAATTCGATTTATGAGATACTCATTTGCCCATTTGTCAAGCTTTTGCTTACTCCCCACCCCACTGCACACAGATGGTCCCACAGTTGAAGGTTCAAATTATGGTAAATCTGTTCTTTCTAGGATCAGTCACCATATTTCCTTCAGAAATTCATTCATAGAACTTGAGCACCATTTGAACGTGAGGCATTTTCTAAATCTATATTTTCGACCTTCCTACTATCTCGAACCTTCTCTATTGCTTAGATGCCACAGTTTAAACCCATGTTAGAAATCAAAATACATGTCGCTCCATGAAATTTGATTGACTTATTATAAAATGTGAGTACGAAAAAGTGTTCTGAATTTTTCAGAATATAAATTAAAATAAATTTTTGGGACATAAATCGATGAGCATAAACAATTAGGACATCCAGATTTGCCATATTTATTGACCACCAGCTGAACACTAAAGATTTTCATTGACCAATTTCTATTTCTATAGATAGCGAATATCTTCCTTGGAAGGAAAATAATCTTATTCAGCATGATTTTTGATAGCTTCCTTGATAACTGCATGAGAAATGAATTATATAAACTATTTTGCTAATGATAATTAGTTCATAAAGGTAAGCGGAAAAAAGCAAAAAAGTTGTAAAAGCTTCAAACAAATATAAGAAAGGGATGAGGGAAAAAAATATTAATGTTCGACAAATGTTAAGTGAAATGAAGAGAAACTATAAAATTAATTTTTAATAAGTTTAAAATAAAAAGTTAATATATAGCAAGAAATAAATTCTTTCAATAATATACAAATCACCTCAAGATGGTAAAATATGTGCAAACTTTTGTTTAAAACCTGTTAAAATAATTCCTTTCGATGAAAAAATTCCATTTTTTTCTCTTATTTCAATATATATATATATATATATATATATAAAATTGCAATTTTTATTCAAAATTTCTTCGTTGTATGTTAAATGCGAGCAGGATAGTCGAGTTGATAATGAGTCAGGCCATCAGTTGAGAGATAAGAATTCTACTCGCGACTGGAGATAAAAACGCAAAAAGTGGAGTGTTATTGATAAATTTTCATTTCATTAACCTAGTTAATTAATTGCAGTTAAATACAATTATAATGAATCAAAAAATTGTTAATATGGGCGTTACTTGAATTTTTCAGGATTGCAAGCACACAGTGAATATTGTCAAAAAAATCGGCAAACGAAAAATTTCTAAAATTACAGGAAAAGTAAGTGCTACGGCTATGAAATTTCTATGGAATTTGTAGCGTTAAATAAAAATGAAATTGTAAAAAATTGTACCTTTTTCATCCATCATGTTTCATTGAGAAACCGCAAGAATAATTTAATAAATTCTCTTTAAGAATATTCCATCAAAATGATCCAAATTAAAAAATTTTAGCTAATCATTCATTTACTCACCTTCAACTGTCGTTTATCTCGTTGATTTCAAAGCGCGCGAGCAATTATTTATATAATTAATTATGAAAATTGTTCATATTAATAGTTAAATATTTATAAATATTACTAAACATCATTCTATTGAATGTATATATTCATTAATAAAACTTAAAAAAATCATTGGACACTGGTGCATTTCCGTGTTTTCTGGAATAAAAAAAGAAAATATATGCATTCTATTAAAAAAGGATAGAAACTTACAACTTTCTAGTTCAAGTCTACACTTCTGAGAATCCATTGGAAATAACTGGAGTTTCATCGGACAGGTTGCAGTAACAGTCAACCTATAACCATATAAAATATACTATTTTATATTTTTTCTTCAGGTTTTTCTTCAGGTTTTAGTTAAATTCCACAAATAATGGTTGATGAAAATCGTGAATTCACTTATCTTTAAACTTTACTTGCTTAATTTACTGATTTTTTGGCTGTTATTGCAATTATAAACAATTTTGAACAGCAAATATAAAGAAATGAAGAGAAATGTCGGAGATGGCATAGTGCATCCCAGCGTTTCCGTCTCATCTGATAGTCATTAGAAGTAAAACTTGGGTATTGAATGACTTTATCACGTACAATAATCAGAGGTGCCAGTCAAACCAGAATGAAAAGTATTGCTACTTCATTAATGTAACACTAACAGCAAGAGAAATAACGAACTATTTCGGTTTCATTAAGATACATTTGAAAAGCTCTTACCATTCCAGTAAAGTATTCACTTTCAAAGATTTGATAAGGCACTAGTCAATTAAATTCATCTGAAAAATTAACCTTTGTGAGGTAAAAACAGTTCCATCGGGTTCAATTCGTAGAAAAGAATTATGTGTAGTAGCGGCATGAAAAAATGATCGTTTTTCATTCGGGAAAAATGTATCCGGTTTCCAAAGTTTTTCCAAATAGTCGACACCAACCTAAAATTTTTGCAAATAGTTCTGAATTATTATTTAATCAATTAATTCATTTGTTCGACTTCATTTTTTTTCGTTTTTAGATAATTTTCAATCTAACATCCAAAATTTGAAAATTTTTAAATTTTTTTCTGGAATCCAGTTACATGCTCAGGTAACCATTAAATAATTAGAAATTAGTCATATCGTTTAAAAATACGGCAATTTGTTGTATCCTGCATAAAATGCTGTATATTGGTGTAAGCTAATTTTTCCTCTTTCTTTATTATTCAAGTAATAATACGCGGTGTTATGCGCTTCTTCTTCTTCTTCTTCTAACAGTTTCCACCATTACTGGTTAGGCTCCAATGGCTACAAGGGTAAGACGCTTCTAAGCGGCGCGGTCTGACGCCATCGTCGATAGTAATGGAAGCCAATCCTTTTTCCATCGTCTAAGTCCATATATTGCTGGTCCACCTATACGTTCAAAATTTTTTCTCACCGTATCAGTCCAGGTCTTGATTGGCCCACCTCGCTTATACCTTAGACAAGAGTGGTCAAAGGCAGATAACTTCTTAATATCCTCTACTCTCATTGGCCATATCTCAGAACCACATAGTAAGATCGAACGGATCACGGCAATATAGATGCGGACTTTCGTTTTTATGGTGATTTCACGACGATTCCATAAAGATTTCACCAGCCGGAAGAAAGCATTTCTAACTGCCGTGATACAAGTTATAATATCATCTTTTGCCTGTCCATTTGGTATTAGAGTGGACCCAAGATATTTGAAACCGGGCACTTCCTCAACCGGCAATGAATTTACAAAAAGAGGCTTTTTATCAGCTTCTTGCACATAAGACGAAAAGACTTTCGTTTTATTTACATTGATCCTGAGTCCGATTCTGGCTGCAGTTTCTGACACGTTATTTAATATTATTTGCATTTCGTTATAACTGTCAGCAAAAAGGACTACATCATCAGCGTATTCAAGATCTGTGATACGATGCTCTGGATTAATTCGGACACCTTTTGAATTCCGACAAGCAATGTCCATTATCCAGTCTATCGCATAGTTGAATATTGTGGAGGAAAGAATGCAACCCTGACGGATACCTGTTCTTATTTCGAAGGAATCTGTCAGCTGCCCATATACACAGACCTGTCCCGACGTGCGCTCATAAAATGCCTTTATGAGTCTAATGATTTTCTCTGGAATAGCATCATATTCCATCACCCTCCAAAGCGCCGCTCTATCAATTGAATCAAAATCGATGAAACACGTGACAGTCGATTGCAAATATTTGAAGCGATGTTCCAACACCCTTCTTAACGTGAATATCTGGTCAGCACAACCACGCCCTGGTCTGAAACCAGCTTTAGGACGCATCCTGCTGTCTCGTACTTCCATAAGTCTGTTGAGTAGAGCAAAAATTTTTGCTGAGACGTCTAATAGGCTGATTCCTCGATAATTGTCGCAAAATGTCCTAACATCTTTCTTGAGAATTGGGAGTAGAATTTCTTTGCTCCAATCATCTGGTACTTTTTTCTTTTTTCCATACTAAAGAGTACATTTGTTGAAGGTGCCTTATGAAGGACAATGGACAGCGTTTGAAAAGTTCAGCCCGAAGACCATCTTCTCCTGGAGTTTTGTTGGCCTTAAGCTTATGGATAACTGAAATTATTTCTTCTTCTGTTGGAGGCTCGCAATTGCAAACGTATACTTGGGCAAACGTATCAGCTATATTAGGGACAACAGATGGCGCTTCATGGTTAAGTTTGGTCTCAAAGAATTCTTTCCATCTTATGAGGCGGATCCTTAATACTTTTAATTAGTACGCCATTGCTGTCTCCATTTCACTGATCGTTCCCCGAGTCATAGTTGCTTTATGAAGAAGGCAGAATAGTTTCCTATTGTCGCCTAATCGAGCCGCCATCTCCATTCTTGAGGCCATGTCACTCCAATAGAGATTTCTGTCCCGCTTTGCTGCTTTCGTTGCAAATCTTCGAAGCACCCAGTAGTCAGGATCATCTGACATTCGTGCTTTGGCAGCTTTTTCAGACAATTGGACAGTTGCTTCCGATATCCAACTAGCGCACTTCCTACTAGTATGCCCTAGCGTGGAAGTGGCTGATTTTCGGAGACATTCCTTTAGTTTGGACCATTATTCATTTGCTGTTCCAGAGAAGTCATTGATATTTGTGCCATTGAGGTGCTTCAATAATTCAATATTTCGGTTTGAAATGCGCTTACTGTCCCCGAATTTTTTAGTTTGAGATAGTTGAAGGAATTTGGGGGATGCTGTTTTCTGCGATCTTAACTCGAACAATAACATGATCCATAAAGATTGCGCATTTCAGCATCGCGATAGGAACAATACCTAAATACTATCTAGTAAAGAACTCTTCCAACTCTACTGATAACTGACTAAGAATATAATCAATCTGGTTGAAGTGTTGGTTGTCCGGGGAGTTCCACGTGACTAGATGTTTTTATGATGCCGTAAGCAAGTATTAGAGGTCCGTCTCCTTCACTTTGGGTCTCGAGAAATTATTAATCCTGGTTCAGAGCAGAGATACTGGATATATCACTAAAAGTTCATGATCTTCAAAGTTCAAAGTTCAAAGTTCATACTCTTCAGCATAATGAAGAAGACGTTCCCCATTGGCACACCGGTCTCCGATGCCATATTTGCCAATTGTTGAGATCATCGCAGCTGCATTATGACCTACGCGAGCATTCCAGTCTCCTCCGATTATGATCATGTCATGTTTCGGTAGAGATTTCGTTAGCAGTTGAAGTTCCGCATAGAACTTGTCTTTATTACGGTCATCTGCCGACAGCGTTGGAGTATAGACAGTGATGACCGAGATATTGCAGAACTTACCCTTAAAATGGGCATAGGCCATACGATCGTTTATCGGTTTCCACTCAATCAAAGTGGAATGGGCCTTGTCAGATATGACAATCGCTACGCCATTTCGTCCCAATACTTAGGGTGTGGATCGCTTGGCTTGCAACGTCAATAAGCGTTCTACGTTCCACGCTGATACGGCTAATACCTCGCCACCTGTGCAGAGGGCTTCCCCTTCTTGATAGATTTCGCTTTAAGCCCAGATTGTATACTTATCGCATGTACCACCGGGTTCGAAGTATGCGCGTCGGGAGACGCAGACGCCGTATGAAGTGCATCTGACCCTTTCACCATAGAGTCACTTGGGAATAGAATTACAGGTGGATCCCCAGCAGCCACCCGGATTTTTGACATAATAGCAGGTTTACTCCTGCCAAAAAAAGCGCTTAACCTTTAACGAATTAAATAAAAAAAAAAAAACAATGGGGGTTTCTGTTGCATATATGATGCATGCAAGAAATAATCACTCTTTATTTAAGATCGGCTTAAACTATACAATCAGAGAGTCGCGGGTAGGATTTTTAATTACAGGTTTATTCCTAAAGGAATCATGAGTTAAATCTTCGCTTCTCAGCAAGATAATCTAAGCCATAATTCATTCAGCTATTCTGCCTCGGAATTTATGGATATTAAATAATATAAAATAAATAAATGATATTAATGATACATATAAGTTTTTTGGCCTCCGAGATAAACATTATTGGATAATATAAATATACATATTTGATTTCAATTTTTAAATTATCTAATTCCTTTTTTCGATGAACTTAAACCTAAAATTTTATCTAAATTAAAATTTATTATACTACTGGCTTTTAAATTTTTGTAAAGCGTACATTAATCAATGATTCATAATCGACTTGCATCATTAGGAAATTAGGAAATCTTAAGAAAGTTTCTTTAATCATTTTGTTTAAAATTGATGGATAGTCAATAGTTCTAAAAAAATAGGCTATTTAGCAAATATCCATCGATAGCCCATATAATTTCATAAAAAAAATTTAATTGAAATGAAAATAAGGAGTTAAGCAATAGAAATTCCTTATCGAAAATAAAATTTATGACACAAATTTAGGCCAGTGAAATTATATTTACGTTATAAATATTGTAAGAGTTACTGAATAATCTGATCTTTGTATATTCCATCAGCTAAGGCGAAACTATCATAGGTATCACTCTTATCCCTAAGCGACTGCCAGGGAAATATAAAAATTCTGCGTAATTTAATTGTTCTTAAATGATTTAACTCAGGCAGTATAATAGCCTTTACAGTTTTAGTTCTATCAATATAGAATTTTCCAGGTTTTTTGTGAACTAAAATTGATTGAAGTTCATTGAACCAAATTCTTGTAAATTACTAAATTTTATTGAAACTTGCGCCATTCATTTTGAGCAAATATGCAAATTTTACTGTCATTTTTCAATTTTTTTATTTTATAAAAAGTTAATAAAAGAAAAAAGCAACAATAATTTTAATATTTCAGTGAAAGTTTCAAAAAAATGCTAAAAAAATATTAATGTGAAATATTAATGTGAAAACATTAATCTGTAAAGGTTAGGCAAATGCAAAAAAATTTCTTTTTTAAGTGGTATGGATCATCCTTAACCTTGGATCTTTTACCAGAGCCCTGGGAATTTCAGGATTCCTAACAATATTCTTCTCATATTCTCTTCAGAAATCTCTGATTCTGGAATCTGTTGGAGTCGCTTCTTCTGGAAAAATGCATTTTCTGCTCAAATGAGTCATTCCCTACTTACCCTCATCTTACCCTCGTAATTCATTTGCTTCTCATATATCTTCTATATTTCTCTGATGTTTTTGGTATTGCTATATTTGCCACCACTCCTATTTCTGAAGAACCTCTCATGAATCCCTCATCTGGACTTCAGAGAGTCGAAGCCATATACTGAATAGATATTCCTGCAGATAATGCCAGCTACTTGGTTATGCCTCTCAGTAGATGCTATTCCTGCCTGCATCTTGCATGCCGCCATTATGTATTTGATATGAGGTAGTTCTGATCAATCTTACCTTCAGTCTTGCATGATGTGGTTTGCTTCAATGGATCTTTCATATATATATATATTGAGGGCAGAATAGCTCAGTGAGTTGTTGCTCGATTGCGAGATCCGGCTGCTGAGGCTCGATTCCTCGCAAGGAAAATCGAGGTGATCACTCACCTGTGTCTTTATCGCCAAGGGACTCCTTGGGTATATAGCCCAATGCGACAAGCCAGTGGAGCGAGTTTAATCAGAAGGACTCTTTAAAAATATATATTAAACATACGATTTAATTCTTTGGAAAGATGCTTTTTCTGCTCAAATGAAAAATAATTTTATAAAATATTTCACTTTGATGGACGACATTAAGATTTAGCTGATTCTATCAATTCTTAAATTTGCTGAAGTATAAGAAGAATTCATATACTCTTGATGCATTTTAAGCTTTTAAATCCTTTCCTTTTCCATTTAAATATTTTCTAAAAATGTTGATAGTAGCTGAAATTATATTTGCATAATTTCAAAAATTTAACAAAAAATTCATGCTTTTAAAGCAAACCCCAGAATTAATTAGCGGTCGAATAAATGAATACTTAGTTTATCATGTTAAGAAGCAAGGCTTCGAATCCTGCATCCGATAGGAATAAAGCTCTCATCAAAAAATGTTGGTGCTGGTGATTCACACCACATTTTCTAACACCAAATGATTTTTGTCAAAAATGATTTCTAGTTGTACTAACAACAAGCGAAAGCAATTTAATTAGAATTAATTAGAATTCTTGCTTTTATTTAATTAATGATTAATGATTAAATATATACATTGATTAATTGTCTAGATTGTTAATAATTACCTGAAACTGTTTTATTATTCAAATTATTATTTTTTGTATCATGACAGAATTAATAACTTCAAATCCAAGGTTTTTCAAATATTTGCCAATTTCTAATAAAGAATATCTCATTATTGACAGTAATTCTAAGGAATCCTACATCTAAATATCACTACTTTATTACACTTATTAAGTTATTATTTATACTGTAACTTCCTCTACTAAACATCGAGTGAATTACACCAAATATTATTGGGAACGTGTGGTGTTGTTTTGGGTAAGTTTGAGCTATCACAGCTTTAATTATTGTTTTTTTAGAAAGAATTATTAAGTTAAATGTGAAATCCGATTGATGCTGAAACCTAGCCATACTTTCATCCAGTACTGATTTTCAGAAAGAGATCCCATTTCAATCGTCAGTCAAACTAAAAATAGTAAGCTGCTGGAATTCCTACTTTTGTTTCTTTTCCTTAATAAATCATTGCGAAGAAAAAAATCGACAAATTTTGCAAATTTTGAGTAGATTCTTCGATCTTTTGAAGTAAATAGGAATAGCATGAGCGAATAGAAGTAGCAACTAAATGCTGAGAAACAAGGGCTTAGAGCATGCGTCGATAAAAATAAACCTGTCATTAATCTGAGTGGTGTTGGCTATCTGCATTTCCGGCTCATTATCAAAAGGACTAAAAGGGTACTCGTCCAACCATAAAAGCTAAGGTCTAACCACTTCCTTAAATTATTCCAAGGAATTACATTCAGTATTTATGAATAAAAGAATTTCTCTAGCTAAAAAATTCGCTTTAAAAACAATTTTTTTTAAAAATTTAACTAACTGTTAATGACTCGATTTTATCTTTTTGAAATCCGTAAACTAATTCGGCATATGATAATCGTGGATCACGCCATGTTTGTCGCAAATAAAAATCTATCGTAAAGTCCTAAAAGATTTCACTTAACAATATCAATAATTTTAATTTCAAATTTCAATAGTTCAGTGATTATCATTTTTAATGATAATCGACGAATTAAAACAAATCAAAATAATTACTTTGTTCCATTTATTCAATTTCACTTCAGATATTTAGCACTATTTGATTCAAATGAAGTATCCAAGGTTCAGATCCTAGCTCATTCCGGATAGTGATGGGGATGCCACTTTCGCCAAGTAACCCGCTGGCAAAAATGGATCGAATCTAACCAGAAATAATAAGTGTTAACCACTCAACTGGTTTTGGTCCTCGCTTATATAATTATATCCGAAATTTGTAGTTATTTACTAGTTATTTTTTACTTCGAAATTGTTAAAAGTTATTCGTTTTTGTGGAACCTGTCAACATATAATTGTTCGTGAAGGCACTCTGTTGTTGCTGCTGTTTAAATGTAAAAATTTCACTATAATCGATATTTTCTTATACTTTATTGTATATTACAATATTTTTGCGAATTTTCTATTAATTTCAGTTCCTATATTGAAATATCGCACGCATTTCTCCTGTTTTTTCTGGATTGCTTGATTCTATTGGTTATTTCACCAATAGACAACAACACCTGAGGATAGGAATACGGATGACTCAAAATCACTTGGATTTAGCCTTAGATTTACTACCGCTCGGAAATAGAACTCGGACCTATGGAAAAATATTTAAATAATAAAAGGAAAACAATGAACGAGATTGGGAAACCATTTCATCCACAAATATCAACATCAGAACGGTAGAATATGGATATTTCGGCTCGTTATTTTTATTTGATATTTATGAGCGTTTTCTTCAAAAATATTTTATTGAAAATTGATTAAATCACATTTTTAAGAAAAAATCGCAGAAAATTATGGAAAAATTATCTTATAAATTCAATTTTCGAAAAAGATTCATAATATTCATGGTTTTGATTTTGATTCTGATTTAAATGAGTTATATTATAAATATTTATATATTTTTTATTTTTTTTTACTACAGCTTCTTTTTTCTCCAAATTATTCGATTGTAGCAAGTTTTATCGCACATAAGCCCTTTTTTTCCATTACAGCAAATGAAGTGATGAAAGCTAATTTTTTCTTTAAAAACATCCTATAGTCAGTAAATGATTAACGAACCCTTGTAGGAGATTAATAATCTTGTATTGCTCTAAATTCTCAACGATTTTGACCTCATCAAGTGTTAAT